CGGAAAAAGACCACTGCCCGACTGAGGAATTGAACCCCAGACCTTCCGATTACCGGTCGGACGTACTGCCATTACACTACCGGGCTGTCTTCTTCCGTCTTAGGATCTCTCCAGGATCCTAACAGAACAATTCTACCTCGAGTCTGGTCCTGACGTATAAAGTTGAACCTGAACCTGCGGACCTGCACTTGAAAAAAATAGACCTAGACTTGGACCTGACCTGAACCTGGACCTATGACCTGAACTTTTGACCTGGGATGCTGGGTCCATTGCATGAAAAAATTCTAAAAGTAGTGTGAATTTACAATATCCTGTACTAAAGTTTAAGAACAGTTCTCAGAATATGTGAGAAGCACGTGATAGATATTTTGAATAAGACTTGATATAAGACTTTAGGTCACAGATACAGGTTCAGGTCAAAGTTGAGGTCTCCTTTTTCAGGTTCGGGTCTTGCAGGTCCAAGTCCACTTTTGCTAGGTCAGATCTGGACATATGACCAGAACCTGACCTGGACCATCCTGTCTCTGGCCTGTGCATCGATTGAGCATAAAATCAACAATAACTATTTTACTATTTTGTTTTGTTGATGTAAATCGACAAATGCTTACCGTTGAGCACTGATGACTCCTTAGCTCAGGTAAGAGAGACTTTATATTGGCGAAATAAAGTCGTTCATATAAACCATTTTTCGTAAATAATTTCATCAATAATCATAAATCTTACTCATCTGTATCTTCAGCGTACGCGTGCTCAGAGGAGGGAGAATTGGGGGATCAGTTCCTTTCCTTCCTGGAAAAATTTGTCCCTAATTATTCGTAATTGCGCTATACTCTGAAAAGCAAAGAGAGAAATTATAAGAAAACGAAGAATCCGCTTTCTACTAGATAAAAAGTTTTTATCTCCCCCTTTCTGTCAAAAATCCTAGAGATGTGCCTTATCTACAGTACAGTCTATCGTGCAAATTAGCAAAATATCTGACTTTAATCTAGTTCCTATATCTATTATTTATAGAAATGTAATCTCAAGTAATTTTACTTGTATTAATTCAATTAGAACCGCATATGCTATATTAAGCTAACAAGTATGCTCAAAAGTATTGTTAATAAAATATCACTTAGACAATTATTTTATTATTATCGTTATTATTTACTCAGTATTATTTTTGGAATTATTTTTATCTTGTTTACTCTGAATCGGAAAAACTTTTGGTCTAAAAATATTTGTTGTAAATCACTTTCACCATTAAAAGATGGTTCACCATATTTTGCATATGTATTATCATCAATTCCAGCACACTATAATTTTACCGTTTCAAATTTAGAAAAAGCCCTTTCTGGATATTTTAAAATTGAACATTTTCAATCGGTATCACTTAATGATACACGAATTAATAGAGAGCTTAGAACAGCATCAATACATCAACAATCAAATTTGCTCTCACATATTGACATGTGGTTAAATTTTTCATCAAGATCAGATCATGAATATGCCGATAATGATTGGTGTTTTATATTTGAAGATGATGTGAATATTGTAGATTTGAAAGTACATTTTCCACAGATTTATTCAAAATGGAATTATTCAAATCCGCGTCATTCATTAAGGGGTAAGTAGAGTACATATCACGCTAAAGATGTGTGCGGATGCATGTCCAGACACGGATCAAACCCGAAAATACTAGAGAGGCAGGACTAGATTGACAAAGTTACTGTGTAATGCTTAACAAAGAAGTCTCATTGATTGTGTAGTGAAACTTGGAGTGATCGGACACTGTTATACCTTGAAAACTCAAGGCTGATGTCAAATAAAACATGGCAAAAAAACCTAGAGTCATGTGAGTTTGTACAAATATGCTTCTAATTTTAAGTAAACGTCTTACTTCAACTGGACGTTGGGAGCTCTTACCTCAACGCAGGGTTAGTTTGTTTTTGAAATATCATATGGTTAGAAACATTTTGCATACCCACCACACAAAGTTAAGTCGAAGACGGTGGCAATGCTGCTTTTCTGAGTTCAGTTTTCTAATCTCCTCGAAGTTTTTTGTACAACTGTACAACTAATAGATTATAAAAGAAGTATCCAGATCTTTTCAACTATCGTTCATCATTTTCAACTTCCGGACGTTTCTCCTCTTCGGTTGTGTGCGCGTACTGTATGATAGTCTATCATATATCCATTCTAACTAGGCATTATTGACCAAGCGTTAAAATTAGCAGAACTAGATGGTGTACTATATTTGGGTACATGTGGACCAGAATATCCGAAGAACAATTCAAAAATTATTTATACGTCCGACAATTTGTTTGAATTTCGTCGTGGCTCGTATTTCTGTTCACATGCTATAGCATATAAAAAATGGCGTTTAAAAACACTCTGGAGTAACTATTCAGTTTATCAACCTATAGCTGAATATAAAGGAGTGGATGGGATAGCGAAAACATATCAAATAATAGAAAAAAAACTTCCATTGTCAGTGGCTTCCAACATACATTGGCCACCGAGTACAGGACATTTTGGATTTTTTTACCAAGACAGAGCCGTAATAAAGTCAACGATAAATGCTGGTAGATAGAATAAGCGATGCTCCACAAATTTTCAATTTAGATTCGACGCTTGATTGAAATGGTTTTGAAAAGGATGTTAGCCATTTACAAACTATAGAACAGGTTCATGCTAGCTGGGTTTTACTCAAGTGAAACATGAATGTTTGACGGGTGCAAATGATAAAGAATATTCTCAAAAATTCTCGAGGTTTTGTCTATTTGGTGCTTAAAATTTGAACGACGATCTCTTCCAAGAAACACAACTCATCAACAAATATACTAATTGAAATTTGTTTTATTTTTCTTACAACAATAACTCGTCGTTCTTTTCTTTTGTACAATCGTGTTTGTTATGTTTGTAAAAACAAATACTCCATCGTTTTCTCTATTCAAACATTAGAGCTCTAGCATTCGAATAGAAATATAAACATTTCTCAGATATATGTCTATTGACATTTGCTTCACATTTGTCACGTTTTCTTTCTGTGTAGAAGAAAACGAGAACGGTTCGTGGAAGAACAAAATGCGAGACTATAACTGTTCTCTTTCCTCTTTTTCTTCTACACAGAGCAGAAAGAAAATGTGAAGCAAATATCAATAGAAATATATCTGAGAAATGTTTATATCTCTATTCGAATGCTAGAGCTCTCTATTACAAAATATTTTGTGTTTCTTCCATTTTTTCATACATTTTTAGAAAAAAGAAAAATGTCGTTTCGTTACGTAAATATTGAGCGGCCATGTGATTTTCATTTTTATAAAATGAACGAATATAAAATAAAATTTATATTTGTCTTTTTGCAGTAATGTCATGGTTATAGTAAGAGTGATTGTTGCATGCATGAGCGTTGCACAATAAAAGGTGGATAAATACGAAATAAATTAATCTTCCTTCTATCAGAATGTAAATTTAAAGTCATTTTTATCAATCGTACTAAAGCATACATGTTGAATCAAGGTTTTCTGTAGAACATGTAATAGCATCTGAAAATAAAATAACTTATAAGTGGATTTGCATTAGTTATTTTCTTAATCAGAAAACTTACAGTATGTCTAATGTAACGCTTGGACAAAGTTCAATATTTTGAGTTTATTGACCTAAAAGAGATTGATCGCTTGCTAAAATACTAAACATTTAAAGTTAGTCAAGGTACTTAAATTTTATGAGAAATTCTAAAAATCAAAATTGGGCATTTGGATCAAATTGGTCATTTTCTAACATGTGATAGATCATAGAAAACGGAATAAGAATAAGGAATAAGAATTTCTGAGTTCAAAATTTCCTCTGTTGAGAAAAATCCATTTTACTGAGGACATCTCCAAATGGGCCAGGTGATTTTTAGTTATTTT